TAAACAATCTATAATGAGTAAAATCTAAGGTAAAATCATGTCAAAGAGGAAACACAGATACACAAATGAAGCAAATGCACAACACGGAACTAAATACAGAAATAAATAAATATAAATGACATGCACACATGGAATATCAGAAGGTGGTCACAGAAATTTACAAAAGCAAACGAAAAACAATCGTGAATGATCTTCCGAAAGAAGATGAAATGAAATGAGTGGCTTACAGCAATTGTATTGCTCCAATTCTTCACCATGTCCTTTGACCTTTGATGTAGTTCTTCCTTCTCCAACTTTAGTTTCCTTATTCTCTCAGCTTCTTGTGATGTCCGGGACAACTGTGTCTGGATACGATCCCAGTCACCTTTTGATAACACTGCCACATTGTCTCGGCTGCGCTGACCTTCATTCTCGAGCCTATCCTCCTGAACAGGAGATTCTAAAAAGAAGATTCAAGAGATTCAAGATTCCATTTATTGTCATATACTGTACAAGCAAAGTGCATGAAATTTGCTTTCCAGAGCGAGGAATACACAAAAATATACACACAGATAAAATTACAAGACAACTATAAATATAAAACTATACAGTGCAAAAATATTCAATATCATTAGGGCCTATTACATTCTGTCTAGGCTTGAAGTGTGTAAGTTAAAATAAGAATTAAGAATAATTACAATGTTCTATAATAATTTAATTAGGCCTAAATACTATCCTAGGCCTTCTTATCTGAGCCTAGGCCTAGGGTCCGGGCCGAGCCTCTAGCCTAGGTCCCTACTACTACCCTAGGCCTAGGCCTATCTAGGGAGGAAGACTTTTCTATTTAACTTCTAAAAATCAAAGGTACCTAGGCCTAGGCCTATATACAGTACTGATAAAACATATTCATCTTCTCTTGCCTAGTAGACACTTAGTTAATAGTAGTAGGCCTAGGCCTAGTAGTAGTACTAGTAGTAGGGCCTATAGCTAGGCTATTCCACAAGGTACTACTACAAACCATCCAAGCAAGGCATAGGCCTACATCTAGGCCCAGACCTAGCCTCCAACTATCTAACTAAGCGAAGTTCTGGGCTTAGGCCTACTACTACTAGGCCTAGGCCTATTTTTAGTTAGCTAGGCCTAGGCCTAGGACTAGGCTAGGTAGGCACTCAAGGCCTAGAAAGTTGAGTGTACTTACGTCTTGATGATCCTGATCTTCTTCCAAATTTGACAGTTTCGCCAGAAATTTCCATTTCTTTATAAATGGAATAAATACAGTTATATAAAACCGCCTTCTTTTTGCAGTGTATCTTACAAATGAAGTCCTTTTTCGATGACGTTCACAAGAATCCTTACATCCCCAGCCTGTTTATTATATCACTCGCTAACAAACGGTTGCTTAGAAACAGCCGTCGTTTCTACGCAAGACGTAAACAGTTTGAGGGCAGCATACTCAATATAACCAAACTTACTCTTTGATGATATTGTACAATACAGTACCGTGACAACATTTCTTTTATTGACATAAACTGCGCATACCACTATGATCATATAAACAAAGGAAAAATTACACAAATAACATACATCACAAAAAGTTCAATAAGCCTGAACAATTATAAACCAATGGATTTTCTTAAAACAAAAGCTTCTTTAACAAAGGTGGATAATTATAATAATTACAGTATAATCAGTGGTGCACATGTCAAAAAAGTTAGGGAATGTTCGTTCAAAACACGGCGTCATTTAAATCATGTAAAAACTTGATGATGATCATCATAGTAACTAAAATTAAATAAAAAATGTAACTGGTCTTCAACATCACCTAAGTTACAGAGGCGGCAGAGTCTATGTTCGGGTGGAGTTGGGGGGGGGGGGGAGCGTAACTCCTTTTTCAATTTCCAACGAGTGTGAAGATATTTTAAGTTTATAAATGGGAGATTGCATTGATTGAATATATAATAGGTATGGTTCAAGCCTGTAAACATTTTTGAACTTGCAATTCAAAAATTTTACACGTTTTTTTTTATTTTCTTTGTTTTTGTTTTTGTATGGTTTCATACCACTGTTTATCATATAATGGTTAGAGCGTATAATAATTGTGCCCCGTTGGTACTTTTTATGACCATTGGAGACTGCCAAATGTGGCTTAAATTTGCTAACTTAAGTATTCTTATATACACGCGTAGACCAGGTAGGCACGTGATTACTGGATTGCGTCGACATCATACACATAGGCCTACATAAGAACATGGAGGTATAAAATTATTTATAATTTTATACCTCCATGCATAGGCCTACGTACATATACAATAAAATAAAATAATTCGTGAACGACAATAAAACAGTGAAAACAAAAAAATGTCCTAAAACGAATACCACTGCCATTACTGTGGATGTCAAAAGTGCACTATCGTCTCTCCAGGCAATTCCGAACCCCTGACGGAAGCTCGACTCCTTGGTTCTGACTCTTCCCTGTTGGACCTCCCGTTTCTGAAGCCATTACAATGTCTCCAACTACCTGTATCAAAAAATATTATCATGAAGTGAAAGGCCTATCATGGTTCTAACTTTCAATTGTAAAAGTACAGTACATGGTTGAAACTGACAGATATTATTTTGTTGTGCCATCCCGTGTGTTTATGTACTTTTTAAAACGGAAAGTTAAACAATTTCGAAGATTTATCAGTGGTGGCGCCAGTTTTTGCTAGTCGGGGAAGGATATTAATGGGAGAGTAGACAGGGACGGCGCTAGCGGGGGTCCAGGGGCAAAGGACCCCCCGTCGGGGACCTCTGGACCCCCACTTGGACCCCTGTCGGGGAATTTCCAGCAAGGTCGTCGGGGAAAAATCAAATCTCGAGCTCCGAAAGTACAATTCACGCATCTTACTAAGCTGTCAAAATTTTAGGGATTAAAAAATGTTTAGTGCGCCGCAGTGCTACGGTACCGTATGTGCGATTGCAGGGTTGGCACCCCCGACAAGTGGACTAGTACCTCGACATTCTTTTTAAATAAAGAATCCCATAATTAACACAAAATTTTATTACCTTTTAGCTTTTCGGGGAGCTTGGACCTGACGCCGCCCCGCGTTAGGTGGTCGGTCCGGACCAGCCTGGAGTCGCCCATTAGAGGGAGACCCGGAGCGCAGCTATAGGTTTATTGAGTATTACAATAGGCCTAAATGTAAAAGTGTCTACTACTGAACATTTTATATGCCTTATAGTACTAGGGGGCCTCTTCATTCAATTTCAAATGTTGTTAAAATAGACCTACTTTAGTTCTTTATTATTATTTTTTGATTATTTAATTTTATTAATTATTAATTAAGGGGAGCCCACTCTAAAGCTTGCTTCCTGTATGTTGCGTCCCTTTTCCACAATCATTTACAATAAACGTAGTTTATCATAATCATAACATTCGATTTGCATTTTGTTCACTTTTCTATGTTTAGGCCGGAAATGAATGAGTTCATTTGAACTGATTTGGGGTTTATTCAAATATTAAATACAATTTTTTTTCTCATAGACGAATTGTAAGCTTCCTCTGATGTCCCATCCTGCCACTGTCTTATATTATCCTTGGATAGCACAAAGGATAACCCAAGTACGAAGATGGTTGCCAGTGAGGTTATTCTCGTGGTTAATTGCGTTCCCACTTCATTCTTTATCTTCTATCAGTCTCCCCTTCCCCATGTCAACTGTACGCCACTAGATATATTGAGCTACACTAAAAAATGCCAGAGTAGGTGATCGTGTTTTTATAACGGAAAAACTTTTTCTCGGGTTGGCCCGGGGCCGGGGGTTGAACACCGGGGATCTGAAACCATTCATAAAGAAAACTATAATTATTGTGATTTCTCATCAGAAATTTGATAAATATGAAGCTGGTATTGGTCACTTGGGTATAAATAAGATTAGTACATAGATCGATCGCCATCACGCGACGCTTTTGAGCGTGGGGGTTAGAAAAAAAAAAAGCAATCGATTGAATGCTTGGCATACGATTGAGGTGTAGCTCCATGCGCGCTAATACCATGCGAACGTATCACCTACAGTTGTTTTCTAATAAAACATCAAGAGTGGTTTTTTTTTTCTGCCTTAACAGCGAAACTGTAGCATCCTTAACAATCAATAACTCCATTTATTTTTTCAACCCTGAAGGATAGCCCTGCCCCTGTTTTTGTTGGGTGAGCCTTCGATTATGTGTCAACATATCCTACGCCGACGGCACCTAACTGTAGTCCATTTATATACGGTATATAAAAAAAAATAGGCCTAACTTAAATTTTATCGTGAACCCTAAAAGGCCTTGTACCAATCCATAACTGTTATGACTGTTAAGTTCAATTCATTCAATCACATCCGTTCGTAGATGATAAACACAAGTTGCGGTTTCAAAAGAAAGACAGGTAGCACTACATGGTATAAACCGTTGCTTGTGGGTCTTAAAAACATTTTATATATTATAAAAAGTTTTATATATTATGAAGCGTTTTATATAGGCCTATATAAATATACAGCAGAAGGTCCCGAGTTCCAATCTTGGTTGGGCACCTATCTTTTTCGGACTCACAGATTTATATTTACAGCATTACCTCAAGACGATTTAGAGTTATCTCTATTATATCATTATCGTACGGTATATATTTATTTATGTCTTAATTTTTTTTTTTTACAAGCAGACAGCAGAATTTACCGGGTTCGAATCACGTTTGGAGCAACTTCCTTGTGTCTGAGGTGGGGTTGGAACCCGCAACTATCTAGGCGAGTACGATACCATTTGGCCACGGAGTCCTACTATAGGCCAAGTAACAAAAACATCCTTGTTTCCCGTCCCCTCCCTCACCAACTTTTTGAAAAACCCAGGACCGGAAACAAGGATTTTTTTTGTTTCTTGGCCATAGTCTCTCAAAGATGGGAGACTGACGAGAAAGAAGGTTCAGAAAAACTTTATTTCCTCAATGTTAATACAATTTGAAATCACCCAGCCATTTGGTAGAACACATTATCTCTAATTCTCTGCAATATTCCGCAAGAGGTTTAGACTTTCGTCATCTACACAGAAGTGCCCTTTTTCCGGATCCCTCCTGCAAATGTCTGGATCCTCCCCCACCCCCCCCCCA